GGGAGCTGCTGAGCAAGCTCTCGGTTGTGCTCCGGGGACATGAAGGCTCACCGTGCGGTTGGGCCAATTTCAGCTTTAAAGGACCCCGAGTCAATGTTTTGTCTGGACTGATGCCATGCAAGGGGGTTGTGTGGAGAGACAGTATGGCGTAGTGGTTACATGACTCTGCTCTCTATTTAATGGGTGACTTCAGGCTAGTCACAAAGTACCCTAACGGTGTTGTTTTGAGGATAAAATGGAGAGGGGAAACTTGCCAGTCCCCTTGGGTTCCTCCAAGAAGGAAAGCCAGAGTATCCATGTAAGAGAATAATAAAAATCAAAAATTATGTCATGGCGGCATGCGGCAGTGCAGACAAAGGCCAAGTGGGAAACAGGCACCAGTTCTTAGCAATGGGCCATATCCAACCTTCCTGAGGTTCCCAGGGGGAAACGGCCCTTTCCGCACCCACCAGCCATCTGGTCATTTCCCAACATTTGTGGAGCTTTCCCCCTTTCTTGCTGACAGTAAAGTTCCGAACTAAACCAGGGTGGTATTCTTGGCCCTTTGTCGTCGTCTTTTTTGCCTTTGGTCCCATCCACCACTGGAACACAGCCCCAGAAGCATCTTTGAGATCAAGTCCATCCCTGATTGAAAGAGCCCGTGCACCCCTGCTTTGGGCAGCGATGCTTGCGTGAGAACAGGAGGCCGCAAATGCACAAGCATCTTTATTCTGCCGGGTAAGTATCAGAAGGGTGTGCAGAGTGCCTTCAAACTGAGAAAGAAGCAGTTGCTGCCCAGGAACAGCTGGAGACAAGGGGCATCTTTATGGCACAGAAACCCAGCCAGCTGCCCTATCTTGTTCTTGGAATCAAAAAGGAAGCAGGAAGCCATGAAGAGGAACTCATCCTGGTTAGAGGCCCTTTCCAGAGCAAAAGCTGAAGGCACACGCCACCACCAGACTCTTGCCTCATTTCAAGCAAGTCCAAAACATCACAGCCTTTTTCTGCTTCACGAAACGGCTCCTCATTGTCCCTGCCAGGAAATGCGGCTGCTAGGAAAAAGCATTGTGTTTGCTTTTGCACTTAATGTAGGCAAATCCTTGAGGGAAGGGAACGCCTTTGGCATGACAGCAGGCTAAACTGTGGCTGGACAGCTACTCAGGCGCAGTTTTGACAAGTTCAGGAAATGCATTAAGAGATGGTTTTGGACATCTTTACGGGAAGTAAGAAGAAAGAATGCAAGGAGTGGAAAGACACACCTGTCCTGGTAAGGCTCATGATTCAGAGCCAGCGCTTCTTAAGCAGACCAGCCGGGATAATCAGATTCTGCCTCCCTCTCAATGCCATTGTTTTACCCCTCTGAATACAATGGCTGAGCACACTCCCTGGCCTCAACGAGGAGGACATGGTTAGTAATGTTGCTATTCCCTTCACTGCTGGAGGGCGTTGGAGAGAAAAGCAGAACTGCTTGGGGTGCTGTGTGTGGTCTAGCCAGGCGATTAAAGCATTTTTGAGTGTGTGGACTTCAAGGGCCTGGCCAGTCTGGATCATATGGGTTGCACTGCACCCGTACAGTTCTGAAAATACCACCTGGAGAGGAGCAAAGCGAGCACAAAGATATGCTACTGAATCGCCTGGGGAAACGGACTATGAGGCTGTGGCTGATTTCCTTAGAGGGGGGCACTCTCTTATGGGGACTCATTCCCAGGGCCAACCATCATCCTTAAGGTGGTTTCAGCTCTACTGCTGCTCCTTTCCACTCAGATGGGCAGGCGGGAGGGAAGGCGAGATGCACCCAGATGAAATCCAGGGTGCACCATCTTCCTGCCGCGCTGCTCCAGCCTCCCCCAAACCAGACACTGTCCAGACTGATTCTGGGAGCCAGCTTTGCTCATTCCTCCTCACCTGATTATGCACCTTTCACAACTGCCCAGCTGCCTCAGAAGCGACCACTAGGGACCAGACAAGATGCTTCTTGCAGAGTATGGATGTGTGTTCAACTTCAGTTCTGGTTAAACCTGGACAGAGTTGAGGACAGCATCTCTGAACACATGTAGCCACGGTGAATACATACTTCATCTTCCCCCACCAGAGTGCACCTGCCACATGCTTTGAATGCTGCTACGATCAGCTCTGCCAAGAACAGGGATTGCAGTGGGCTGTAGTCCAAAACCTCCAGAAGGTACCTCACTGAGGAAGGCCAGTGACTGGTGAATTATGATCCAGGATTTAAAATTATATCTACAACCATGTCAAGTTATATCACCCATCCTGCAGGCTGCTCAAGCATTAAAATTCCAGGACACCATACACTGGGGGTGGGGGGGGGCGCAGAAGGCAACTATGGATCACTTAAACCGACCTTCTTTCTCCTGGGATTCCCTTAATGCAGACTATGGCTTGATTTCATCCCGCAAGGCAAAACATACATGAAGAGTAGTTCTACCAGCCTTCTCCAACCTGGTGCCCTCCAGATGATGTTGGACTACCGTGCCCAGCATGGAGAAGCCTGTGCCATGCTGCTTCAGATGCCCTTACTGTGCACTCTGGCTTCATAAAATTGAAAGGGGCCGGCCAACCAAGACTGAATCCCGAAATCAAAACAAGCTCTGAACCCTGTCCTTGCAGCCGGTTCTGTGGGCTGCAACATAGGAATTCTTGAGGCAAGACTGGCGAATTTGAGCACTGTGCGCCACACACAGCATTCAGAGCAGCATCTGTTTTCCTTCAGGTCAGCGAATGCTGCACAGCAGCAGTGGTGGCCTAGAATTCTAAATCAAAATGGCAAACGTGGCCAGACCCCACTCAAGAAATATGGGGCAGGCCTTTCAGGCATGGGGCAGGACTGAGAATGTTTCCAGGGAAAAGGATGATACGTGACTTAGCTTGGAGACTGAAGCTCGATGCCCCGTGCTCTCAGTGCGTGTCTTCAAGTCTCCACCACACAGAAGCCACCGTTGCTGGAAGGCAGCATGTTTGATGCCAAATGAAAGGCTTAAGATACACAACCCAGATCAGACTCTGCTACATGTGAAAGATACTTTCAGGAGTAAGATAGGATACTAGGGTTGGGTTCGCTAACAGCAGTCCTGCAAGATGGCACATGTGGAAGAACAGCTAACACTCTTCGCTGTCATTCGCTTAACCACAATGGACCCATGAATGTCGTCAAGACAGAAGGCCAGGGGAAAAGCTCGGCTGTTCCTGCACATCTGTAGGCTAGGATGCAGCCAATGGCTGCTCGCTGCTCGGAAGAATTAAGCAGACGCTAACACAAGACCAAAGTGAAGGAGCACTGACATCAGATCTGTAAGTTTATTTGCTCAATGTACGACGGCTACATAATGACTCACATTCATGATATTCCATCACTGAGGAAAACTGCTAAGAATGGTCCGTGTGTGAAATAATTCCTTACAGAAACACGGAGTTGGAAAAATAATCACTGATTAGACCTTAAAAAGAGTTCACTGCATAACATGACAGAAAAGCACAAACAAAGGCTCAAAGAACATAGTAATTTTTCTCCTACACTGTAATAGTTATAATTTCACCATGACGAACACCAGACATTAAGATTAAGCTAACACTGGTGTTTTCTTTTGCTTTCCTTTTTTAAAAAACAAAATCATATATAATTGCATGTCACTATAGCAACATCCATAACAGATCAGTTTTGTTACGATCACTATTTGGTAGAGCAAACTTTACCCCCAAAAAGGAAAAATAAAATAAATTAAAAAACCTTAAAAAAATTGTTGAAGACTATTGTCATAGGAATACATAACATCTACAGTATAAGTTAATAAATGCCAAGCTACTTTATAGAAATACAACACCAGCATGCACAATATTGTATCAATAGAGTAATGGAGCAGTTATTCATTTCACTGAAGAGACAGTTATCATAGGCAAGTGCATTTCTTGAACAGAAAAAATCGAAAGAAACCATTCAAGCTGCTTGCAAGTCCCCACCCCCACTCCATATTTAGCCCTCTTGTGCGATCTTTTCCCCTGCATAAAGTTTTCCTAAAGCAGCCAGAGCAAAAAGCTGGGAGGGGGGGAAATCAAGAAAGGTTTTGTAATTCCAGTAAACCACTTTCAAATCAAAGCCAGGGACACACACTGCTCACACGACATGACTGCAAATTAAAAGAGAAGCCTAAAATGTCCTTCCAGTCCGTAACGCTTCCGAGAGGTTTCAGTCAGTACTCAAGTTGTGAGCAAGAATCAGGCTGCTGGCGCGGCACTTAGACTGAGGTGGCCCAGAACGAAAAGTCACGCAGAACGAAGTATGATTATGATCTTTTAAAAAAAATGTTTCTGCATGGGGTGCACTGATTCGGATTTAATGCCATTTTGTCAATATCAGCCCATTTAAAACTTTGTCTTGGGGACTGCTGACCCCTAAAGAAACTCACATCGCCCAGGTTGACTGTAGCAAGGAAGAGTGACAAAGACTACAATTCCACCATGTCAAATAAGACCTGTTTCCACAAGGGCAGACAAAAGTGGCTTGCACGACAGGAGTCATTAGTGGCCAGTTTTCTTCTGTGGAGCTTTCTTCTGATGAGCAAAAGCTACGTACTAAAACATAATTCAAGAAGGAAAACAGCAATGATTTTCCATCAATCATGATTTTTGGTAAAGAGAAAAAAGGGAGAGAAGAGGGCGATGATGGACTATTTGCTGATCCACTATAGAATTATACTCCCAAGAAAATACTTTCAGAAGCACAGATTCTATTTTATGCTATGCATTCTAGAGTGTCTAAAATTTAGGTGTGTCTGTGTGTTTTTAAAATGGACACTGGGAACAAATTTATCTTGTGGATTTCTCTACTGATCCAAATTGTTTTACTTGTGTCACAGATTTAAGGCAGACCAAAGTCCCAACTCCAGAGAAGAACAGGGAGAAAAATGAGAGATCTGCTGATAATTTTTAAGTACAATAAGAAAAAGCTGTGTTATCAGCAAAATGCTCCCAAAGGAAAGGGCTATGACACCTACCTCCCCCTCCTCTTAAAAAAAGGGAAAAATCAAGATGACCTCGGAGAATACCAAACATCATATGAGACATACAGACCTGAAGTAGCATTTAATCAAGCGGCATCAAGTTTTAGCAGCTTTCCCTGTGTCTGAGTCAAAGTCTGAACCCTCTTCTGCTTTGGATTCCTGGCATTTTATACAGCCACTTGCCAAGCATCTATTAAAATAGCTAAGAATTAGAGCAGGATGGGCCATTCCCTCAGGCAGCATCCAGGCATCAGGGAAAACCGACTAGGGTGGGTATGCCAATCCACGGAGGCGGAATTGGAGGAAGATGGGCCAGCCAGAAAGAACAAGCAAAGCAACTTACAATCAATGGCTTGATGTAAATATGGCTGTTGTGTAGAAATACTGTAAACTGTAATTTAGTGTTAATACTGCAAGCAATCTTAAGCAATTCTGTAAGAAAGCGCAGATGGGCTCTTCTCTCGTTTTGGTTCTTTCTTTATGAGTTTGGGGTTTTCACTTTTGAAATTCTGCCATAATGAGGGAGGGAGGCTGCTCCAAAGTTTGGAGTGGGAAGCAGGAAGAGGAGGGGCACAGCTGGATCTGGACAGGACAGAGCAGAACGAAACAGAACAAACTGCATGAAATTTCAAATGAAAAGAGATGGATGGAAACCTTACTGGAACAGAGCTGCTTCTCCAACAGACAAACGAACAGAAAAGATGAGAAATCAAGCGACAAAAAAGAGGGCCGTTCCGTTCAAGTTAGTCATCGTCAACTTCATGTATGTCTAGCAATTAAGATAACTTAAAGACAGCTCCCCTTGAATTAATAATCTACAGAACAGTCCATAGGCCATTGTGTGGCTGCCATTCCATTCCATACCAGCACAATCAGCCTGACTTTCCACTAGTGGTGTTTTGGCAAAAGTGTCAAAGAGGCAATCAAAGACAGGTTGCGGGGAGCCTCCCAAGGAGGTCGCCCACTCCTCTCCCTTCCCCCACCCCTGACCCCCTCCCCCCCGCTCGTGGGAAAAAAAATGAAGACTGCAGTAGTAGCATCGGCGTGCGGCTGCCAGTCCATCCGAGGGGTCTAGTTGTTACCTTCTCCACCGTCGTCATCTTGCTGGTCGCTTGTCCAGAGCGTTAGGTTATCGCGGAGAAGCTGCATGATGAGCGTTGAGTCCTTGTAGGAGTCCTCGTTGAGGGTGTCCAGCTCGGCAATGGCATCGTCAAAAGCCGTCTTGGCCAGGTGGCAGGCCTGCTCCGGAGCATTCTGGATCTCGTAGTAGAAAACAGAGTAGTTAAGCGCCAGGCCGAGCCGGATGGGGTGCGTTGGCTGCATGTGCTCCTTGCTAATCTCATGCGCTTCGCTGTATGCCTTCTCGGAGGATTCCACCACGGTCGCCCTCTTCTCCCCTGTGGCCACCTCAGCCAGGTAACGGTAATAGTCCCCTTTCATCTTCAGGTAGAAGACTTTGCTCTCATACTGGGTCTCGCTGCAGTTCTTGATCAGGTAGTTGTCCAGGAGGCTGAGCACATCCTGGCACACGGCTTCCAGCTCCTTCTCGATCTTCTCGCGGTAAGCCCGCACCATCTCGATCTTCTTCTCGTTGCCGTCGGCAGAGGTTTTCTGCTCAATGCTGCTAATGACTCGCCAGGAGGAGCGTCGGGCCCCCACCACATTCTTGTAGGCCACTGACAAGAGGTTCCTTTCCTCATTGGAGAGAGGCTCATTCAGCTCCGTCACCTGCATGGGAGAAAGGATGACACAACAGGCCCTTTAGCCGTTTGCTGCTCTCCAAGCTCAATACACACGACTGCTCGCCAGCTGCCACTGGCACAGGAGCTGACAGAACAGAGCTGTCTGGATGGCCGTGAGCTCCCAGCGCCTGTGACTATTAGTCATGCTGGCAGGAGCTTCTGGGAGCTGGTGTCCCCAAAATGCAGGGATCTACTTCCTGCCCACCGTGTTCTAGCAGATCCAGATTCTGGATTGCCAAGGTGGCATCACTTACGCAGCATTAACATAGTTTCTGGAGGAGAGGGAGAGGAGAGGAGGGGGAAGCTTTTCACAGGTTCAAGGGAGTGATAATGTTGACTACTTGAATAGGACCAGTCCTTGGCTCAGAAACTAGAAAAGCAGAAACCACAGTAGCTGACCTTCTCAGCATGAACATGTGGCCTTAACTGTAAGCTTTGTGTCCTGAACAAACACAACAGTACCCCAAACAAGAGACAGAGAATGTTAAGAGCCTTAGGCTGAAGGACAAATTGAGACGGGGCAGCTAAATTTAATTAGGAGGGCTAGCAGGAAAAATCTCTAGTATCCTCCACTATGGGAATCAGGTTGTACATGTTGTTTAAATTACTAGTAAGAATCGCCACAACTGTATATACAGAAAGAACCACATTTTGCTTCAGGAAAAAAACTGAGCCTGAGCAGCTTACTCAAAACAGCCACTAGCTGCCAAGCCCAGTCAAAATGCACGGTCTCAAGGCATGGGGGCACAAAGAGGTGGAATGACAGGCAGATGTAAGCGGACTGGCTTCGAAGATCCATATCGTATTTATACAGCCACACTAGTAATGCCTTATTGGAGGGGATTCTTGAAGGGCAAAGAATGCCGAAAGCTAAAGAAGAACCCAAGCCTGAAAGAATGCAGCAGGAAGTCAAAACCGCACAGGCTACAGGAAGACAGCCAGCCAGCGTGGACAAATATGCTAATGGCGATGAGAGGAATGCTCCCAAGATGTGGCAAACAGAGCTGTTTGAAAGGGCAGTAACGATGGGGGTACCACTGGAGCCCGATGATTTTCAAGCTATACTGCACAAGCCCCAAGAAATTGCCACTAGCAAGCAAGCAAAGACAGACTCTAACACCTGAGGCATTTGGAAAGGCCTTGCCAGGTCTTAAAGGAGGGGGATGCTCTGTTGCAAAGAGGGCACGGAAGCCACCCTGAGACAAGCTACAAAGGAGCAGCACAGACAGTGTGCCTGCGCGGGGCAAACCAGTGCCCAACACACCCCATCGGCCATCTTAGGCAATGCGGCCACTGTCTGAAGGAATGGGGAAAGCTGTAAGTGAGCGACCCAAGTCTTGCCAGCCCAAGACCTGGGCAGGCAGCAGGCTTTAACAGGGAGAGGTGCATGGCTCCAGTGAACCCAAGAAAAACCAAGCCAAACGCACGACAGCCCTTGCAGAAATGCACCACACCAGGGCACGCACTGGCTCTCCACACTGCTAACGAGGCTGTGTTCCAGTGCGCCGAACAACGGTGGTCTGGCAACGTGGAACACAAGGGTGACTTGGCAGCACAAATTCAAGGTTGCACGTACTTCCCCTCACGCCCTAATCGGAGGCAGATACCAGCAGAGGCCACCCGCAGCCTCCAGCCAAAGCACCAAGATAGGACTGTTGCAATGACAAGGCAAACGGGTATCATATTTAAGAATGTCACTCTCCCCCTCCAGGAACTGTACACGCAGCAGTTCTCTATTTTGGGCCATGAAGCAATTAAGGCTTTTGCTAATTTGCTTTGGACAGGGCTGCAGAAAACTCTTTGGGCTTACTTTAATGAGGCAGCCTCAGCCGTGCTTCGGGGGGCCATGCTTCCTGGCACTTTCCTGGACTAGTGGTGTCTGCCGAGAAGCAAAATGCTGCAGCCATGCGCAAACTTAGGTGGGCAGAGTTGTACAAGAAGGCATCCTGGCCGCTTGGGAGATCTCTGAAGGATCCGGGGTATTCGGGGACAAGAGGGCCAGAGCAGCCTCACGGTACTGTGGAATGCAACCCTGTCTGACGTTATCCCTGGCCCTTTAAGGGCTGGATAGTAGCTAATGGAAAAAGGTCGCTTCGTATATAAATAACCAGCACCCGAGCAACATGACCTGCCAGATTCTACAACTTAGCAGCAGATCTGCAGACTCCTGCTCTCACAGGGTCAATGTAATGCCTGCCCACCACAGCTGCTAATGTGCCACAAATTAACTCTGACTGATATGCAGGTGGACTCGTAGGCAATGCTTGTCGTAGGACAAACACATCTGCCATCAGCGACATGTTGAGCTTTCTAAGGCTCATCTGAAACAGCAGCAGGCCAACCTTTCTATATCCAAATATCCCAAAGTCTTCACCCCCTTGAGATCAGCAGCAGAGGCCCTTCTCCGGGAACCCTCCATGAAAGATATTAGGAGGGTGAGCACCCGGAGGAGGGCCTTCTCTGCGGTGGCACCCCACCTCTGGAATGCGCTCCTCAGTGAGGCCCGCCTGGTGCCGTCGTTATTTGTTTTTCGGCACCAGGTCAAGACCTTTTATTTGAAAGTTATTTTAATTGTTAATTGTTGATTGTATTTCTTTATTGGGTTTTTATATTTGTGTCGAGATGTCTCCGGATTTTTAAGGTTAACTGTATGATTGTTTTGTAAGCCACCCCGAGGCTTTTTGCGAATGGGGCGGCATAGAAATGTTCTGAATGAATGAATGAATGAATGAATGAATGAATGAATGAATGAATGAATGAATGCTGGGGAGATGCATGGATTAACGATTTCTCCTTTCTACCAAAAACACTGCAGCATCACCTCTTATACTTCAAAGTGTGCATTTACATTCCATCCATAGCCCATCCAGCACCTCCGTTTTGCCTTGGCCAAGGAAAGAGGGAGGTCCTTAGCAGATTGTGCCCACTGGATTCTTTTACACACAGAGTGCCCATCAATGAGTTAAAAGGATGCCATGAGAACACGAATGCAAAGAGGGACGAGGCACATTTTGGCTGACCTTGAGAGTAAAAAATGCTTGTGGCTGTCGATAAATCCACTCCAGGGGGAGAAAGCATTTTGGGCCTCCAACCAGTAATGACTACAGGTCAGCAGTGAGCGGAGCCAGAGGCTGACCTTGCGTAAACATTCAACCTGGGAGGTTTCTCGGCTCACTGCTTTGCAAGCTCCTTTGTGTCTCAGTGCAAAATGCCAGAGGATCTCACCCGGATGAAAAGAATTATTCACTGAGGGAAATTACACGGAATCACCAGATGTGCCTCCGTGAGACCCCTTTGCAGGTCCCTGTGGGTGGGTGGAGGCCCCTGACGGCAGTTTTCACAACTCCAGAGCCCTGATGTGCAGCAATATCACAGGGAGCTTTGCCCAGACAAACTGACTTTTCTAAAATGCTGTTTTCCTCCAGCCGTACACGCTAGTATTTCTGCCACATGTGTTCATACCATTTCCCCTTTCCCCATCTGGAGCACTCCAAATGTGCACAAACAAAGATTCCTATTATTTTTGGCTAGGCGGTCAAATGGCCATGTTGGCGGGGGGCGAAGGGACTGCAGGCCAACACGCCTGGAGGGTGACAGAAGAGCAGAGGTTATGTTACCGATTTTCTTTTTTACTTCTGTGCTGGCCATGCTGGCGGGCTGCTGCCTGAAGCATGGGGTCCATATCTCCTAAGGAAAAGGCGAGCCCACATTTGTGGATGGGCGGGATGTTCAGCAAGACAGGCGTTTGTGTTTTCAGGGGGCACCCCTTCCCCTCGTCTGCGCCCTCCCCCTCTGCAGGGACTCACTTCCTGCATTCTTTCCAGATTCATTCCTGGGATCAGTCTCTGGGCAGCAAAGGCTTTGCCTAATGACTCCGGGAAGCACCGAGGAAGAACGTCAGCATTCACATCGAGGGACCAGATACTCAGCAACAGGCATCCTGGCCAGGTGGCTGCATCGTGAAGTGCCGCAAGGGCAGTCGGGGCTGGATCAGTCCCAAGCCCATCTGTCGGTGATGTGCTCACACAGTAGGCGACTGTGGACACCCACCAGCAGGACAGGGCCTCCCCCAGTACCTTCAGTTCTGGCAGCCTCAGAGCACGTTTGATTTGAAAGCACCATTTTCACCCTTTTCCAGCAACTTCCCAACTTTGACAGGAGGCATGTTTGTTATCCTAGCAGAACATGAATTCCATGTAACACTGAGCCCTGTCCCTTGAACTTGTCCTTTACCATCAAGAAACTCCTAGGAACCAAAAAAGACAGGAGGTGCTCTGCACCTCCACCAGCTACCAAGCAGAACACAGGATCAGCTTGGATCCTCTCCTTCCTTGCGCTGCAATGGAAAATTCCGGTTACAAGCGAAGGGAGGAGTGAGTGTGCCGCACATCGATATGGAGCTGAAAAACAAGCAGAATTAACTAGCAGCAAACAGGGCTGAGAAGGAATGGCCTTGCAGACCAAGCACTAAACTGTGGTTTGACACAACTAAATGATCCTCAGGTGATTCTGCATCTCCCTCCAATGCAGCTCTAATGATCAGAAACTTCTGCTTCCATGTGTTAAACTAAGTGCTGTTTGTTATACCCAAGCTAGACAAACTGCAATTAGTTTTACCTATGGTTCAGGGAAACAAACTTTCTTGATAAACCATGGTTTGAAGTTGGCTTGTTTCTCTGAACCACCAACACACCTGAGTCGGGCTGCTCTGCGGTTGTTTGAAGAGGGCCCTCTTCATTCCTGTTTGGGATCAAGCCTTACTGGAAAACAAGAGATCTTGACCATTTTCCACAGTGCAACTGACCACAGGCTGACTCTCAGGTTCTGACGCCACAGTAAGGCAGGGTTAACTGAAAAGCGACACCAAAACTTTCACAAAGTAGGTATTTTGTGTTACAGGTAGCTGCATGGCTAGGATCTTTGTAATGCTTCCATATTCACTTGCAAAAGTCCCATTACGAAAGGGTTCTGCTGATTTTCTGTGAA